CCCCAAAACCCCAAAACCCCAAAACCCCAAAACCCCGGGGAGTTTTGGAAATGTTGATGGTTTTGTAGTAAAAGAGTGTTAAATTATTTATTCGATGATTCTAACCATGCTAGGCACAAATCCTCCATTGAATAAGACTCCTCCGACGCTGATTCCAACTTCAACATTTGATGATCTAATTTCTTTCTCAAGGGCTAAAGATTTATTCGTTATAAAATTTCAAATAAATTTTAACTATCCCAAATGACTCTTATTTAATATGAAGTTACCTAACACAGTTATAAATCTTCCAGTTTTAACTTCATTCATTGTGAATCTGTACTCATATCCGTGAGTCTAAATACATAATATTTAAATGATACATCAAGATCATATGCAATTGTAGCCAATCTAAGTCTAAAGAAGTCATTCCTAAACAACATTAGATTATTTAGCTACTTTGATTTTAGTCTATCAAGCATCTCTATGTATTCTTTACTAGAGTCTATCCCTGAAATAGCCTTTACTAAAGGCTCATTGTCCATTTGTGAGTCTAATAATTATTATTCTGACTCACCTTGATCAGGTCTTTCAAACTTCGAAGAATAAAATCTTTGAGAAAATTCCATGTAGTTATTATCACTCGTAATCATATCTGGAATTAGTCCTGCCAGAATAGCTTTTGACCTGAGATCTTCCACAAAGGCTTCTGAATCAAAAGAAACTTCTACTTCTTCTCCATCAGATTCTCAATCAAATATGCTTTTATAGACCTTTTTTACTTTTTCCTCAGTGCTTTTCTTGTATAAATCTTTCACAATATGAACTAATGGGTGCTCTTCAACCTTGATAGGATAGTCATGAGTAAACACAGCCAAAGCTTTGATTGGGCATGAAGCATTTCTGGTCTTCATGACCTATAAATAGCACTTGAACTTACCTGTAGTCCCTTCCAGAAGAATAATCTATCCTTCATTAATTCTTGATGAACTGAAGTGTCGAATTGAATAATTGAACTTTGTGTCTATTCAGCTTTAAATACAAATTGGGAATAAATAATGAAAAGTTTATCCAAAGAATGGTCAAGTAGATATTAGCCGATACATGTGACCAATGATATTTGCTCTTATTAAGCCGTAAAAAGCTTTCATTCAAAGAGTCCCTTCAAAGCAAGTAAACTAACCTTAGGAGATTTAGAAAGTAAGAGATATTTTAGAGATGCTTTTGGTTTCAGGAAGCTGTCAGAAATGGTAAATAAACTTTTGTATCTTCTTTAACCAATAAACCAGCTTACCTTTGATGGGATTTCAGGAAGAGAGTATATCATTCTATTCAGATACCAATATTTAAAACTTGTTCTTGAGTCAGTGCTCAAATTCTCTTTATTCAATGCCTATCATACTAAATTCTAATTACTTCAATAAAAGATGCTTCTTTTCCTTCTATTTCTTTATAATTTCTTTGCTGTTGGATTTTACTTGGAATTTTGTAGCCAATAGAATCTTGAATTTCTACCACTTTTTGTAACAAGTTTCTGGCTTTTTCGGTCTAATGAAGATTAAATTACATGAAACATAGAATGTAAAATAATATTAGAAATAGTTACATCTTCTCGAAGCGACTCGATGGGGATTCCAGTCATACAAAGTACTCCATTCTTATGAAGTTCTACCTTTTCGGAATGGTAGATAGAATTTCAATTCAGGAAAGCTCTTAAGCATCTGATTGGAGCTCTCATAACACCTCCAGTAACTCTTTGGGTACAAACGAGCTCAGTTTTGATATTAAGTTTCTCTGTCTCAAGAATGAATAATACAAGTTCTTTAGTTGAATAATCCTTCATCCTCTGGAACTGCATTTCTGGACTATATTGGATAAATTCCAAGAAGTGCTTTACTCTTTGAATTCTTCATTACCACTCTCATGCTTCTGCTTCAGTCTCAATATCTTGGAAGTGACTGAGGCATAGTACTGCTCCTGCCTATCATAATCTTTGACAAGTGGTACCATTCGGTCAATAAGTCTTCAGAGCAATTCAGTGTCTTCCCTACCAATGATGCAATCCTTACACAATGTTATTGAAGAACTGTTTGTTGACGAAGGCCAAGCTAGAGCGGACTATGTCTTTGAACTCTAGGAAGAAGAGGATTTCTCTAAGTATAGTATTTAGAAATTTCATATTTATTATAGTCAACACTGCGTTTTAATTTTGGGGTTTTGGGGTTTTGGGGTTTTGGGGTTTTGGGG